TTAAATCTGAAAAAGAAAAAGAAAAAAATCATTAGATGCTTAAACTTAATTCACATTTAAAATCGGTCCAAGTTATTGGAACATCCTTTTGTTCCACTAAGTGTTAACTCATGCTGCTTGTTAATGTTGGTCTATTTTGCAGAATGCACTTATGTCTGGTTTGCCTTACATAGCTCTTTGGTTTGTAAGCATAGCCGGCGGCTATATCGCTGACTTCCTCCGCGAAAAGAATTACCTCTCAACTGGAAATACGCGAAAATTAATGAACACTTTGGGTAAGGGAGATGTATTATGTTCTCTATCATCCTCCTGAGTCGTTTTTGATATTTTAATGGTAACCAAATAAAAGAATATTATTTTTTAAAACAAATTGTAATATTCCCTTCTAGGGCGCCTACGGTGTTGCTTGTCGCTAGCACGCTCGACTCGGAGACCCATTTTGCTAGTGTTGTGAGTTCCCTTTCATCCATGGCTTCATGCTAGATCTCTTACCTTCAAGTTCTCGTTTGTTTCGTCTCTTACGACGCGTCTTGACTGATCAGCGATCTTAACAAGATTATGATATCAAACAATGACCCGAATCAAACGTGAAATCGTTCTTTTACGATTGAATACATCTGGATAGCTGAAGGTTTTCGTAAAGCCGCAGAAAGCAATGGAAATACTTTGATGATTGATTAAAACAGCAGGAAGATGCATCAGCAAATGATTAAGCATTTTATCTGAAAGAAAAAAAAATAGCGTATAAAGTCAACGATATGAAATAGGGAAACGGAGACCGCAGAAACTGTAAAACCAATTTTGATTGGCTGAAAAAACCCAAAAAGAATCAAGCCCGGCCAAAACTCCGGATTCACTCAGGAGGTCAGGACACTAACTGAGGGGCGATCATTCCTGGTTGGATCACCTGGAAAAGGTGGTCTTATCCTTTAAGAGGTGGGAATCCCCAATGACACCGGGAGTAAATATTACTGTTGAAACTGCCTAGTGAAACCACAAGTAAGTTCGAGATATCCATAAAGAAAAAACAAAACAAAATTTCTATTTTAAAAAAGCTAAATCGTAACACTTCCTTCTGGATCGCTTACTGTGGTGCAATGGCTAACAAGCCCGATTCGTACAGTATTTTTCTGGTGTGATGAGTTCAGTTCTCTTTGGGTCCCTTTCAACCATGGCTTCATGTTATTCATCTTAACGTCAGACTCTCGTTTATTTCGTCCCTTACGACGCTGCTTGACTGGTCAGCGATTTCAACAAATTCAAGATATCAAAAGCGAAATGCTTTTGTGATTGAATGCACAATTTGTCTTCTTTTTTCATCATTAAGCTACGGACTTACCAACGTATATATCATTTTGGGTATTTGAAATATTTTTTTAATCTGTTTCACCTCAAACAAGGCAGTAAAGCCACTAAGACACAAGGAGTCACAGAATTAGAAACAGAAACGTTAATAATGAGCGGGAAGAGAAAAGAGTAAATTGAGGACAATAGATAGCGAGATTAACATTGCAGATTAAAGTTGGATGGAAATCATGAACCCGGAAGAGAGTTCCATAAGTGAGAAGTGCGAGAAAAGAAACTGATAGCATAGAATTTACGGTTACATCTCGTCAGCTCAACCGTAAATTGATGAGATCCCGACGCCAGTCTAGTACTAGTAATTCAAAAAGTCTGGGTACCATAGCGAAAAGATTATCCGAACAATGACCATGAAAGTATTTATAGAAAAGACACAGAGAGGCAACCTTACAGTGGTGCGCAAGTGACTGAAGCCGAGCTGCCAGATCATGACCAATAATATTGATGATTCTTCTTTGGATCTTATCAAGGAGCCTTAATAATGGCTAAAATAGCCGAAAGCGCTCTGACATACAAAACATTTGGACAATATATATATGTGTTTTGTGTTCATGGCAATCATCAAGCATAAAGAGTTGAAATCTGTACCTTTAAGCGAAACTTCCCTCGTCAGAGATCTCCCAGAATGTATCTGTCTATATTTCTGAGATGAGGTATTAGGTACACTATTTATATTATTCGGACTATTGTCCTCATCTTTGTCGCCATATTTATTACAACGTTTCGGCCGTTGTACGCTCCGGGCTTCTTCAGGTGGTTAAGGCAGTGGAGAACTTTCAGAGGGAAATTAACAGGAGATAACTGATAACTGACATCCATTAAAAAAGATGGCACGTGAAACTAGAACAGTCTACCGCAGTAAGCGAAATAAAGGGTTAAGTTCAACATTCCAACCACCTGAAGAAAGCCGGAGCGTGCAACGGCCGAAACGTTGTAATAAATATGGCGACAAATATGAGAACAATAGTCCGAATAATGTAAATAATCTCCCTGAATATTTAATATTTGCACTATGCATAGAATTTATGGCTACATCTATTCAGTTCAACTGTAAATTGATAAGATTTCGACAGCAGTCTAATACTACGCTTAAATTCAAAACGTCTTGGTAACATAGCAAAGAACTCATTCGAACAATTACGATGAAATTATTTATAGAAAAAAACACAGAGAGTCAACCTTACGGCGGTGGGAAAGTGACTGAAGCCAAACCACCAGGTCAGGATATTACAGATTCTTTTTTGGATTTTATCAAGGAACTGACGATAAAAACCAGGGGCACTGGACTATATATGGCAGCAATATTCTAAGCATGGACGAATGGTAGACTTATAGATATGTAGGATAGATTCTGCTTTCATTTATCGGCACAAAATTATATCATTAGATAATCATGAAGTTTTTTCAAATATGGCGTAAGGTTGTAGGACAAAATAGCGTATATCAGACAAAATATATTTATATTCATATAGCTAAATATTATCTTTGAAAAACGCTTAGAACTTTTGTTCCGACCCAATAATAATGAAAAATATATCGATCAAAAGCGTATTGATAGAGATGCAGTATGACCTATAGAATAATCAAACAATATATAAAGATTATCAATGTGTATTTGTTTGTATATTTCATGTCCCATTTGTAGCGGAAAGGGAGGTAAATCAACGTCAGTTAGTAAAATTATGAGCGATTACTTCCCTTAGTCATTTTAATAATTTATACAAATAAAATATATATCTACATTTAGGAAAAAAATAGTTCTCGAGCAAAATGAGCCGTTTATTTAATCAATTCCTTTACTCTTACGTTTCTTAGAATGTAGTCTTATTTATTAAAGTCATTCATGTGAGACACTCAGATAACTTTGTCTAATAGTCTTGCTTCAACTTGGTTTTGAAATAGGTCTTGTCGTTGCCGTATTTGTCGTCCTTTTGCTAATCTTTTTTCGTTCGAGAGGTATTTCCATTTCACTGTTGTATTAAACGCATAAATTTTTCAAAATGAAAAGATATTTAGCAAAAACCGATTTTTATTATACCAGGGGTAATCAATGAATCAAAGAAACCATTGGACGTCTAAAAAATATATATAAAGGGAACGGATGAACGAATCGTTCTTTTGTGATAAAATACACAATTGAACTGATGTAACGTATATGGTCATAGAAAGTGGTGTAATGAATATGCATACCTGGGTTCCCCCTCACAGTAATATGATTGGCTGGTGTCAGCCATAAATACAGACTGATGTAGAGGTACAGGGACTACGCCTATTGCCTACGCCTATTGCCTACGCCTATTGCCTACCACTACGACGAGGACCAGTTTATTACGGTTAACTGCTAGATTAAATAGTCCAAAACCACTTTGCTATTTCGAACAAATATATCCCTTTCCGGGACATATCAGAAAGCTATGGAAATATTTTGAGCGGCAGGAATAAAGATGTGATGAATTTATATGAATAAAATATGTTGTTTGGAGAACGTCTCCGTCTAATGTGTGCCCAGTGATAATGTAATGAAATAGATGCTCCGATTAAATGATAACACTGGGAATCTTCATTGCATAACATTTTATTCACTCTGATATTTCATATGTTTCTTTCAGCTAGTTTGCGTTATGCGGCCCCTGTTGTCTCCCCTCCCAGGTCCGACATGCTGTGTTATAGACTGCCTAAATCATCGTTAGGCTGTTGTGTATAAATCTATCTGTCCAATATTCTCACGTTTGCAATACCAGATTTAGGTGTGAGGTCACGTACTCCTGCATTCATCGGTCGGTAGGAATCCCAAGTCAACCCTCTAGGACACCCGGCTTTCTTGATGCCTAGCGTGAATTATTTGCGATGCCTATCCCGGCATCATATTACACTGAACGTAATCAATAGTTAGGGAACATCGCCGTGGTGAACTGAATAACAAATTAATCAAGCAGGCCATTACCGCTGTCGAGAGTTCGATCTTTGTTGAGAGTCCCATATTAGATTATTTCACGGATATTATTCATAAATTTGTTCATTATAGGACAGAAACTGCGACAGTGAAATCAGAAAGCGCATTAGGGTAGTGAAAAAAAAATGCCCTCCAAAAGCCAAGCAAAGTATAAAGAAACAGAAATATTTCGTTAGCACCAACAACAAAAAGAAGAGTACTGAACTGTTAGATAATATTAGTTCTATAAAGCAGTGAATGGTGGACATTCTCCTCAAAGATGAAGAAGAGAATTGAGGCAGCAAAAATGCTGTTCTACAGAAGGATGCTTATGATGCCATGGAATTTCTAGGGCACAAAATGAGGAAAGAGAGCTTGGAAAATTTGAAACTCACAGGACAGATTGAAGGCAAGAGGGACAGAGGAAAACAACGCATAACCTACTAAGTTAGTTTGAGTAAATACGTGGCGGAGCAAGGTTAAGCTGAGACAAGAAAAAGACAAAATTTATTAAGAGCTACAAGAGACAGGAAATTGTGGAGAGCCATGATTGTCAACGTCCCTTTCATTTGAACCTTGTTGAATGATGTATTAATTATGTTAATTAAAATCTTTGACGTCTTTTCAACCCACAGGTTTTATTTTGCCTTCCATTTTTTTGGTGACCATTAACTATATTGGTTGCAACAAAGTTTTGGCGGTCACAATGATTTTCTTGGCCATCGGAACCAACGGTTTTGGCTTTTCAGGATTCCTTGTAAACCATTTGGACTTGGCACCACCATTTGCAGGTATGCACAGTTTATCCAAATCTTTAGCCCCATCCTTCTCCCATTCAGTGTCGGATTTGCATATGGGCTGGTATGGGTTACAGCTCAGGGGCTCCAAGACTAGAGGAACAAATAAAGGTCCTCAAGTTTTTAGATTAAATTGGACTCCTTGATCTAATTTGAAACAATTTGGACACTTCTAATTGGATTGTTTTTTTTTTAATTCGATGGAACTCTTTTGAAGTGAGGGCCGATCTTTTTTATATGCATATAGATTTTTTTAGTTTTGCATAATTTTGTCTACTTTGCTCAATTTTTTGGTCAAATGTACACTTCACTACAGATCTTCTAAAAATATATCATCATCAAACTCCATCCACCTCCCTATTTTCTTTTTGTTGGAATTGCACAGTTCGTTCGACATTGTTATCATTTTTAAGAAAATGATTTCCAAGTTTATTGGCTATTTGGAAACCTAGATGCTAACGACCACCGCCCCGCACCGTCTGATGGAGCGGTTGTTACACGTAGCCAGAGGTATGTATAGTGAATATGTACACCGGAGAGTGAGTGGTCACTATACGTAAAAAATAGATTGGATTCTATTTTACTTCGCTAAATTGTTACTTAATCATGTTACGTAGAGTTTCGTTTTTTTGTAAATTATAATTAATTGATGTCACTTAATGGTTTACTTGCCACTTGCAATAAATTCGATGGTCACACAAGGACAGATGTTTAAACCGCGTTAAAGTAAAAAAAATAGTTTAAAAAATAATCGGTTTATTTTGTTGAACCCTGTTCTTTCAAAACAGTGCAAAAATAGAATTGAGTGTACAACATAAGACATATACTAGTAGGTAACACAAAAAATACTCTACAGCACCCAATGCAAGGAAAGACTCAAATCTCTAGAAGCCATTATTATACAAAATGAACAGCCGACATTAAATAAATTATCATTCACCACAGGAGAAAGTATCTTAAAGTGTATATGATATAATCAATGTAAACCTATTTAAACTCAGTGCGTGAAAAAACCTGGATAGCATAATTGTCAAACAAATTGGCATCCAAGGAAAAAATTTGATAAAAAAGAAGAAAGAACCAGAAACATCCGAACAAGGCGAAAGAAATCGTCCAGTACCTTAAATTTCTAGTATAAAGAAAAAAACCCAAGCGAGTAATAAGTTAAAACGAAGAGTGCTCAATACACTAAGTAGAGCAAATGAGCCAGATACTACCTACCTATGTTTCACCACATGGGATCATCATGTGGTGAAACCTAGGTAGGTAGTATCTGGCTCATCAGGGTTTATTTATTTTATATATGTATGTAAGCATGTATAGCTGGCCACTCGTATTCGAGGATATCTGTCTACTAGGGCGGTTGATCAGGCGCGTTTGTGTTTATTCAACACGCACAGAGCTTTATTAGTTACAGTTTCTGGGAAAGACCGTGTAATCTAGCGTGATCAACAATTTGAACAAGGTTTGCCCACGATGACTTGTGACACTAATGAGCGCAGCTATCGACGGCTCCCAACGGTTCCGTCTACCCAATTTCATTCACAAGGTTTGGGTCAACCTGTGGTATGGTTTTCCAAAGGTGCCGCACGCTGGGATCGATCCCTCCAGTCCGATAACATCAGGAAGTCTTCTTCCTGACAAATCGACTATGGTGAGATTCGAACCCGGGTATCATTGTCAGAATGCCACATGCACCATAATTTTTTTCGTGACGCGTTTCGTTCCTTATGTCTTCATCGGACTAAAGCAGAAAATTTAACAAGAAAGGTGAACTGTTAAGCTGGGTGCAGCTTTACTGTGGATGATCTAGCAATTAAAGTACTTTCTATATACTTTTGTCTTAGTAAATTGTTTTCTCTTTCTTCGCAGATTTTCTATCATCACAATGTGAGATATTTAATAACAAAAGCGATAAAAACAAAAACAAAGAGAAACTAAATGAAATCGGCTAAACTATATGACACGTTTAGTAGAGTTGGGGGGGTACGTATTCAACATTTGATAATTTTGCGGCAATACACAGCTGGAAAAAGAACAGGATAAATATGTTTTTTGGCTGCTTAAGTTGCATTTTATTTTTATGTTGTTTTGTATATGTGGAACTTTAGATGATGAAATCATGCATCGGATTGCTAAGGCTACCAGTGCTTTCGGCAAAATCCACCATCGCTTGTGGAATGAGCGGGGTATTCGACTGGATACGAAAATACGGGTTTACAGAGCTGTTGTCCTTGCCATCCTTTTGTATGGCTCAGAGTCGTGGACTCCATACAGGTACCATATACGCCAGCTAGATGTTTTCCATAAAAGCTGTCTGTGTGCAATCTGTGGAGTTGAGCTTTAAGATAGGACAACTAACGTAGACCTGTTTAACAGGTGTAATATTGGAGGAATCGAGACTTTTATCATACAGTCTCAGTTACGGTGGACTGGTGATGTCTTGAGAATGTCTGATGTCAGGATTCCAAGATCCTAATGTACAGCCAGTTATATCAGGGCTACAGGAATGTAGGACGCCCATGGCTAAGATACAAAGACAAGCCGAAAATCAACTTGTCAGCAGTCAATATACAACATAACACCCTTGAGCGCTTAGCTTTGGAGCGGGTAGAATGGAGATCAATGTGTTGTAGTGGACTCAGCAATTTTCAATCTACTTGTCTGAATCATCTTCAAGAAGCGTGAGCAAGATCTAAAAGGTCAGCCAATCTAACAGTGATCTCATTTTACAATCCTCACACTTGCTTCATATGTGACCTCCTTTGTAAATCCCTAGCGGGTCTTAAATGCCACTTAAGATTATCGCACAAACTTTCATAACTGAATGAATAAGCTGTCAGATCCTCATACGTCGAAACCGACGGGGAGTCCATATATATATATATATATATATATATATATATATATATATATATTAAATTTACTAATTTAAAAATATGGTTCCATCGCTACACAGGAATTACCATGTTTCAAAAACAAACTAAAACTTCAAATTCAGTTATAGAATTAAATTAAAGTCCGTAGTCCTGTTTCATTTTCAAGCGAACTTTGGAATAAGTTATTTTGAAATTTACTGAGTTTTATAAGCACATACATTCATAAGATTAGTTTCTAAGGATAAGAGAAAATACAATCATTTTGACAAGGGGTGGTAGGGTATTCATTTTCAGTGACAACTATTGTATCAAAATATGAGTTACTTTCTAAAAGAGGTTAAGTTAAGGTAGGGGAGGGGAGCATTTTTCGACGAATGATGACATCCGTTCAACGCATGTCGTCTGGTCATTATCAACGACAGAAAGTTTTTTGGCACTTTTGTTTCACCGTTAATTTTGTAATACATAAAGATTTTTTTCTAAAAGGGTTGTTTGAATATGAGTACGTAGTATTAAAATACAATTTTAAAATATTCCTAATTCTAATTACTAACAGACTATACTTCTTTTAAAACAAATAAATGTAATAGAATTACTTTAATTATTTAAAAATTATTATTAAAATATCAAATATAAATATGTATATTTCATTTATCAGTTTTTTTAACATTATTTAAGGAAAATCTTTGACAATGTCGGCAAAGAATAGGCATTTCATTTCTTTGATTAAGTAAATTTTTATGTTTTATAAACATAATATATATATATATATATATATATATATATATATATATATATATATATATATATATATAAAACTCCTGTAAAGTTATTTTAGTCTCTACCTTGGTCTACCGTGCTTTCATGATATGTTCACCCTGTAAGTTGGACAGGGATTTGTTGAGTATTTACAATATTTTTCGATAACGGTTGCCCGGAGAAAGCTGTTAAACGGGCGGTGATAATGTATGGTTAAGGGTTTTAAGGCTCCTGTAGTTTTCCGACCGGGTCTTATCGACCTGTGTGACCTCTAGCTTTTCTACTGTGAAGTTGCGTGATGTCATTGATACTATTCTGATGTTCCCATCTTTCTCTAAGAATGGTTTGTTTTACCTGCAAAGCAGTTCTGTTATTTACCAATTTAAATGTCAGTGTGAAGCTGATTATGTGGGACGAACCAACTCGCGATCGGAGACCGGGATTGGACAGTACGTATCTACTCATATAAGATAAGGTGGAGTCAGCGACAGTATTCGCTATAAACATTCAGTTCGTGAGTTAGTGGTTGGATTACATTTGGTGAATAACCCGGGCTGCACTTTGAAATATTCTGACGAAGAGTTTAAGATATTGCACAAAGCTAAGTCGACTAAACATTTACGTTTTTTAAAAGCTGTTCATATTATTTATGTCTTTTAGAAGCTGTTTATATCAAGAGAACGAAGAAAGTTCTCCGTCTGCCTTCACAAAGTCGGTCGATGAGACCGATTTTGTGCGGGCAGAAGGAGAACTTTCTTCATTCTCTTTCATAGAATTGGGTCGTGAGCAAAATGTTTTTCTGTTTTATATTCAGTAGGAGCTTATTTACATTGATTTATTGTTTTAGCAATAAATTTATTTTAATTGAGGTTTCTTATTTATGCACAGTCTGTTTTATTGCTTGAATTCAATCTTCAGGTCATAAAGATGGCGTTTAAGCATAAAACAGACTGTCATCTTGTGTTGACCTCTACGTCCATATATATATATATATATATATATATATATATATATATATATATGAATAATTACAAAAGAAAACTTATATTATCCAACGCGTTTCGTCCGCTAATGCAGTGCTTCTCAAACTATCTAATATGGCGGACAGGAAATTTTTTCTTAATGTGCCACGTACCTGTAATATTTCGTGGTAATATTAATTTATACCGGAAATGATATATATAATGAATAAAATAACAGTTGACTATTTTTTATCTTCCATTTATTTTGCAAAAAATAATTCAATATCAAAACATATAAAAAGTAATTAAAAAAAAAACAGTAATAAGGAGTGCCAGAGAAAAAGCAATAATTACTTGTTGAGTTGAGTACTGCCTTCTGTAAAAATAACAAATGGATGTCTTAAAGTGAATCTCCTGTTGAAAAGTTTCATGTTTTATATTTATAGAATCGATTATTTCTCTGATTTCAGGAATTCTTTTCTCTATTACCAATATATGGGCAACCATTTCGGGGATGGTGACCCCGTACGTCGTCGGTATCATAATAGCTGAACAGGTGAGATCTTTTGTTTTTTTTTTCCTTTTAACAAATTTTGTTTAGCGGTGTGGGCTGCGGTCAAACCTAATTGGCAGTCAATATACAAAGTACTGACCGGGGCCGGTCAGTACTTTGTGATCTTCACGATCTTATCAACATTTGCTTTTTTTTCTGTCTATATTTATATATGCTATCATTTAAACTAATCAAAACAGACTATTAAAGGATGAAAAATGTTTGCGGATTTTGACGTCATTCTGGGGTCTTTTTTTTTGTCCAAAATCCGTGAATTTCTTTTACTCATGCTGTCTCGAAAAAAACACTATATAAAATTCATTATTTTTTTTTTTTATCCATAATGTCGAATGTGTTAAAATTATTCAACAAGAATAAACTTAACAAGAAAAATGTCAATTATTTACATTATTCGGGCTATTGTCCTCATTTTTGTCGCCATATTTATTACAACATTTCGGCCTTTCAGTATCTGTCTATATTTCTGAGATGAGGTTTTATGTACACTATTTACATTATTTGGACTATTGTCCTCATCTTTATCGCATATTTATTACAACATTTCGGCCTTTCAGTATCTGTCTATATTTCTGAGATGAGGTTTTATGTACACTATTTACATTATTTGGACTATTGTCCTCATCTTTATCGCATATTTATTACAACATTTCGGCCTTTCAGTATCTGTCTATATTTCTGAGATGAGGTTTTATGTACACTATTTACATTATTTGGACTATTGTCCTCATCTTTATCGCATATTTATTACAACATTTCGGCCTTTCAGTATCTGTCTATATTTCTGAGATGAGGTTTTATGTACACTATTTACATTATTTGGACTATTGTCCTCATCTTTATCGCATATTTATTACAACATTTCGGCCTTTCAGTATCTGTCTATATTTCTGAGATGAGGTATTATGTACACTATTTACATTATTCCGACTATTGTCCTCATCTTTGTCGCCATATTTATTATAACGTTTCGGCCTTTCAGTATCTGTCTATATTTCTGCTATGAGGTATTATGTACACTATTTACATTATTCCGACTATTGTCCTCATCTTTGTCGCCATATTTATTATAACGTTTCGGCCTTTCAGTATCTGTCTATATTTCTGTTATGAGGTATTATGTACACTATTTACATTATTCCGACTATTGTCCTCATCTTTGTCGCCATATTTATTATAACGTTTCGGCCTTTCAGTATCTGTCTATATTTCTGTTATGAGGTATTATGTACACTATTTACATTATTCCGACTATTGTCCTCATCTTTGTCGCCATATTTATTATAACGTTTCGGCCTTTCAGTATCTGTCTATATTTCTGTTATGAGGTATTATGTACACTATTTACATTATTCCGACTATTGTCCTCATCTTTGTCGCCATATTTATTATAACGTTTCGGCCTTTCAGTATCTGTCTATATTTCTGTTATGGAGGTATTATGTACACTATTTACATTATTCGACTATTGTCCTCATCTTTGTCGCCATATTTATTTAACGTTTGCCTTTTATCTGTCTATATTTCTGTTATGAGGTATTATGTACACTATTTACATTATTCCGACTATTGTCCTCATCTTTGTCGCCATATTTATTATAACGTTTCGGCCTTTCAGTATCTGTCTATATTTCTGTTATGAGGTATTATGTACACTATTTACATTATTCCGACTATTGTCCTCATCTTTGTCGCCATATTTATTATAACGTTTCGGCCTTTCAGTATCTGTCTATATTTCTGTTATGAGGTATTATGTACACTATTTACATTATTCCGACTATTGTCCTCATCTTTGTCGCCATATTTATTATAACGTTTCGGCCTTTCAGTATCTGTCTATATTTCTGTTATGAGGTATTATGTACACTATTTACATTATTCCGACTATTGTCCTCATCTTTGTCGCCATATTTATTATAACGTTTCGGCCTTTCAGTATCTGTCTATATTTCTGTTATGAGGTATTATGTACACTATTTACATTATTCCGACTATTGTCCTCATCTTTGTCGCCATATTTATTATAACGTTTCGGCCTTTCAGTATCTGTCTATATTTCTGTTATGAGGTATTATGTACACTATTTACATTATTCCGACTATTGTCCTCATCTTTGTCGCCATATTTATTATAACGTTTCGGCCTTTCAGTATCTGTCTATATTTCTGTTATGAGGTATTATGTACACTATTTACATTATTCCGACTATTGTCCTCATCTTTGTCGCCATATTTATTATAACGTTTCGGCCTTTCAGTATCTGTCTATATTTCTGTTATGAGGTATTATGTACACTATTTACATTATTCCGACTATTGTCCTCATCTTTGTCGCCATATTTATTATAACGTTTCGGCCTTTCAGTATCTGTCTATATTTCTGTTATGAGGTATTATGTACACTATTTACATTATTCCGACTATTGTCCCTCATCTTTGTCGCCATATTTATTATAACGTTTCGGCCTTTCAGTATCTGTCTATATTTCTGTTATGAGGTATTATGTACACTATTTACATTATTCCGACTATTGTCCTCATCTTTGTCGCCATATTTATTATAACGTTTCGGCCTTTCAGTATCTGTCTATATTTCTGTTATGAGGTATTATGTACACTATTTACATTATTCCGACTATTGTCCTCATCTTTGTCGCCATATTTATTATAACGTTTCGGCCTTTCAGTATCTGTCTATATTTCTGTTATGAGGTATTATGTACACTATTTACATTATTCCGACTATTGTCCTCATCTTTGTCGCCATATTTATTATAACGTTTCGGCCTTTTCAGTATCTGTCTATATTTCTGTTATGAGGTATTATGTACACTATTTACATTATTCCGACTATTGTCCTCATCTTTGTCGCCATATTTATTATAACGTTTCGGCCTTTCAGTATCTGTCTATATTTCTGTTATGAGGTATTATGTACACTATTTACATTATTCCGACTATTGTCCTCATCGCCATATTTTATCGCTTTCATCTGTCTTATTTATTATAACGTTTCGGCCTTTATTTACATTATTCTGACTATTGTCCTCATCTTTATATTTCTGTTATGAGGTATTATGTACACTATTTACATTATTCCGACTATTGTCCTCATCTTTGTCGCCATATTTATTATAACGTTTCGGCCTTTCAGTATCTGTCTATATTTCTGTTATGAGGTATTATGTACACTATTTACATTATTCCGACTATTGTCCTCATCTTTGTCGCCATATTTATTATAACGTTTCGGCCTTTCAGTATCTGTCTATATTTCTGTTATGAGGTATTATGTACACTATTTACATTATTCCGACTATTGTCCTCATCTTTGTCGCCATATTTATTATAACGTTTCGGCCTTTCAGTATCTGTCTATATTTCTGAGATGAGGTATTATGTACATTATTTACATTATTCGGACTATTGTCCTCATTTTTGTCGCCATATTTATTACAACATTTCGGCCTTTCAGTATCTGTCTATATTTCTGAGATGAGGTATTATGTACACTATTTACATTATTTGGACTATTGTCCTTTATCATATCTTTGCCTTTCGTATCTGTCTATATTTATTATAACACTATTTACATTTTCGACTATTGTCCTCATCTTTCAGTATCGTTTCGGGCCTTTCAGTATCTGTCTATATTTCTGTTATGAGGTATTATGTACACTATTTACATTATTCCGACTATTGTCCTCATCTTTGTCGCCATATTTATTATAACGTTTCGGCCTTTCAGTATCTGTCTATATTTCTGTTATGAGGTATTATGTACACTATTTACATTATTCGGACTATTGTCCTCATCTTTGTCGCCTATATTTATTACAACGTTTCAGTATCTGTCTATATTTCTGAGATGAGGTATTATGTACATTATTTACATTATTCCGACTATTGTCCTCATCTTTGTCGCTATATTTATTACAACGTTTCAGTCGTTGTATGTTCCGGTCTTCTTCAGGTAGTTGGAATGTCGAACTGAACTCTTTATTTCGCTCACTGGGTTAGACTGTTCTAGTTCCACGTGCCATGTTTAATGGATGTTCGCCTTTTCTGCGACCAGACGGACTCTCCTTGAATTGACGGGAAGTCTTCCTGCCATATATGTATATATGTATATTCAGGAAGTATATCTTCATTCAAACATCTTTCATTGATTAATATAGACATCTTATGTCTACTTATTCTTATACTGATCCTTTCCAGTTGTCTAATCACTTTTTTGATGTTAAGACAAAATTCATCAAGGAAAGTGCTGTAGATTTTTTTAAAACCAAATACTTTTGATCTATTCTAAGATCTTCTTCAGTGGTAAATTACAAAGCCAAATATAACTGCAATAAAATCTATATTCTTTATCTGTATATATTTTCTGAGATGGGGTATTATGTACACTATTTACATTATTCGGACTATTGTCTTCATTTTTGTTGCCATATTTATTACAACGTTTCAGCCGTTGTATGTTCCGGCCTTCTTCAAGTGGTTGGAATGTCGAACTGAACCCTTTATTTCGCTCACTGGGGTAGACTGTTCTAGTTCCACATGCCATGTTTAATGGATGTCAGTTATTTCCTATAGACAGATACTGAAGAAAAATATCAAATTGATATTACAAATTGCCGCAAACTATTGTTGATTTATTAAACATAGAATGATCTATTATGATATGTCTCTAATTTCTATTTAAATACATTGTTTTTATTTTCAATTTTTCTAGCTCAAATAATTATTCACCGATTTTCTAAGTGTAGCTTGGGCCGAAAGGATCTGTTTTAGCGACACAGGCTTTCTAAAGACCGAGATGTCAACAATCAAGATGTCCTATGATTTTCTAAGAGTAACTTAGATATGGCAATGTATAGGAGCATCCAGTGAAGACCGGATCCATATTCAGTCATAACTGATCTAGTGAGACAAGCTTGCTAGCCATTCATCATCATCATCATCATCATTAGACGGGATCAACGAGCCAATGAGAACGATCCTTTCTTTAGCTGTATAGTATGTGTCACGCCAGGGTTACATACAGTTTTGAATTCAGAATTTTCCTTCTCCTAGACCAGTTGACACATAAGACTATAGAACCGAGTCTATCCTGCTATTTATTTGGTTCTGTAGCCTTGGGTGGCAACTGGTCTAGGAGAAGGAAAATTTTGAATTCAAAACTGTATGTAGCCTTGGGGAGAAGGATATTAGCATGTGATCCGACTGGAATTCGAAAACAGTTCTCCGATTCCTCGATCCGATTTGTTAGCCATTATACCAAATCGAAGTTCACCACCTATAATCTAATATTGTAACGTTACAATGAAATTTGTATTTTATATGAATATTACCTTGCACAGGCCCTGCCTATATGACACAGTTTTGAGAGTAGCCGGTAGGTGGTGTCCCATGTCAGCTCAACATGGTTTCTTTTGTGATTTCTTTTGCCTTCATAGCTGAAAAGAATAACGGAAAATTAAATAGATAATTTCCCGAAACAGTAGAAATGATAATGCTGAATTTAACCGTTTCTATGCAGTAGATATTCTGCTTTCGTTGACCAAAAAGTTAGTGTCATTTTTTGTTTTCATTTTAATCATTACACTGCAAGCAAAGTGATAAAACCAATAAAATGCAAGGAGTTACTGAGTGTTAGAGAATATAAGAAAAAGAAAGCATTATTAAAGAGCAAGGACAATAAAAGTGGAGAAATCAAGAAAACAGAAGATAACTGATATTGCATTTAAATTTTTGAAGGTCAAAGTTGTCTGGAAAGCATGAAGCCGACAGAGATTTCCACAGGCGAGAAGTGAGAACAATAAAGGAAGAGGAATCAAAAAGACAACAGATAATGATTGACATTGCATTTAAATTTTTGAAGATCAAAGTTGTCTGGAAAGCATGAAGCCGACAGAGATTTCCACAGGCGAGAAGTGAGAACAATAAAGGAAGAGGAATCAAAAAGACAACAGATAATGATTGACATTGCATTTAAATTTTTGAAGATCAAAGTTGTCTGGAAAGCATGAAGCCGACAGAGATTTCCACAGGCGAGAAGTGAGAACAATAAAGGAAGAGGAATCAAGAAGACAGTAGATAATGATTGACATTGCATTTAAATTTTTGAAGATCAAAGTTGTCTAGAAAGCATGAAGCCGGAAGAGAGTTCCACAGGCGAGAAGTGAGAACAATAAAGGAAGAGGAATCAAGAAGACAGCAGATAACGATTGACATTGCATTTAAATTTTTGAAGATCAAAGTTGGCTGGAAAGCATGAAGCCGGAAGAGAGTTCCACAGGCGAGAAGTGAGAACAATAAAGGAAGAGGAATCAAGAAGACAGTAGATAACGATTGACATTGCATTTACATTTTTGGATATCAAAGTTGGCTGAAATGCATGAAGCCGGGAAGTAGGAAGCCAGATGAGAGTCCCACAAGTGAGTAGTGTGAAAGAAGAAACTGTTAGCATAGAACTTACGGTTGCACCTAGGCATTTCAACTGAAAAACAGAGATCTTGCCGGCAATCTAGTACTGCACCTAAATTCATAAAGTCTAGGTATTATAGAGCAAAGTTCATCCGAACAATTATCATGAAAATATTTATAGGAAAGGCAATTGGAAGCTACGTTATAGCGGTGGGAAATTGACTGAATCTGAGATACCAGGTCATAACCAATAACATTGCAGATTGCTTTGCTTGAAATTTATAAAATCTTTTTAAAAGGTTTTTGAGGATATCAGACTCAAGTTTACAAACTATGGTCGCTCTTTCTAGTATTGATGGATTTTGCATGACTGATTTGTTTTTTACGGATTATCAATGCTTTGTGGATTATTTAAAGTTCGAACACTTTTTTGGATTGCAAGAATAATTTTTATTTTTATGAGTGAATATTGCATTAACAATTTTTTGAGAGTAACAATAATTTTTTTCAGATACAATTACAACTATTTAACCCATAGCTGGGGGAAGAAGATGAATTTGTGTCTTTCTCTAGGATAATTGCACGTAAGCAATTGTAACGAACCAATAAAAAATTTGGCTCTATTTCTCATTCTTAGATGATATCAATTACACCACCCTCACATCTCACCTAGTAGTGACAAGAGTTTCCTTTCTAACCTTTGGTTTAAGGTTGTGTGGAAAGTCAAAATTTTGATAACATCATTATTTTCTACTTGTTGCATATACTATCCATTTTAATTATTGCCGCTGTTGGAAGTCTTCAAGTGATGTGATTTTCATTATTGGTCAAAGCTCTTGATGATTATGTAACCTCAGTCTAATGAAGGATCGAACAAAAAGATTTGTTCGGTTGAATTTACTTTCTGAATGAGGTCGACACCATTGTAAAAATACGATTTCTCACACATCCTTAGGAAATGAATAGATATATTCTTTTCCTTTTAAGTCAATTTAATGACCAGGGTTTCTTAGGAATCTTGTCGCCAGCCCATCTTTGAGTAAATTTAATGACCAGGATTTTTGAGGAATCCTATCTCCAGCACACTTTTGTATTGACAAGCATAAAATTTTGTTAGTGATTTTTACAAAAACTGACCACCCGAAAGCTGTCTGAGTCATCTCCCTTTATGGTTGGTGGAGCACAAGTGGATGGAAAGGAGTGAGGGTCCTCCAGTCAGCATCCATAGTGGTCAGTGAAAGGGTTGGCAGTGAGTTAAGGGGCCAAGAGTTGTGAATCAGTCAGAAGTCAGTGACGCTGTCAGGCAGTGGGAAACGGTCAGCAATAAGTGAAATGGCCAAGAAGTGCGAATTGGCCAGAAGTCAGTGACGCTGTCAGGCAGTGTGAAACAGCCAGCAATGAGTGAAATGGCCAAGAGATGCAAATCTGCCAGAAGTCAGTGACACTGTCAGGCAGTGTGAAACAGTCAGCAATGAGTGAAATGGCCAAGAGTTGCGAATCTGCCAGAAGTCAGTGACACTGTCAGACAGTGTGAAACAGCCAGCAATGAGTGAAACGGCCAAGAGATGCGAATCTGCCAGAAGTCAGTGAGGCTGTCAGGCAGTGTGAAACGGCCAGCAATAAGTGAAACGGCTAAGAGATGCAAATCTGCCAGAAGTCAGTGACACTGTCAGGCAGTGTGAAACAGTCAGCAATGAGTGAAATGGCCAAGAGTTGCGAATCTGCCAGAAGTCAGTGACACTGTCAGGCAGTGTGAAACAGCCAGCAATAAGTGAAACGGCCAAGAGTTGCGAATCGTCCAGAAGTCAGTGACACTGTCAGACAATGTGAAACAGTCAGCCATGCGTGAAACGGCTAGCTGTCAATGACACGGTCAGGCAGTGTGTAGTGATCTGTTTTCTGTGGCTGGAGTGTAAGAAATCGTATTTTCTTTTTTCTTACTTCCCGACCAAACAAGTTTCTTGAGAAGAATTTGTTGTTTTTCTTTGTTAATGTCGATCACGGCCCTAATGTTCAGGCAGATCTGTGAAACATAATGTGCACCAGTGTATTCGCATTCAGCCGACCTTGAATGCACATCACAGCTTGCACAGTGATGTGCATGAAACGCATCATCTCCCCATGCATGACATCCATATGAGAATCAAGAGAAACAAATACAGAAAGCGGCTTACAGCCATATCACATTGAAACAACTGTTTTTGTACAATCACCGAAGTTAAGCAACGTCGAGCCTGGTCAGTATCTAGATGGGTGACTGTTTGGGAATACCAGGTGCTGTAAGCTTGGATGTGCAGGTGGTGTAATGGATAACAGCTCGGAATGAGAAATAGAAGTTAAGCACTGTCGAGCCTGGTCAGTACCGAGATGGGTGGCTGCTTGGGAATATCATGTGCTGTGAGTTTGGATGTGTGTGTGGTGATAACGACTCAGGACTGGAAGTCGGAGAGCCTAGTTCTAATTCCAGTTGGGTTTGTTATATTCACTTATGTGCAAATAGCATTGGGAAAGGCATGAATCCACCTCTTCTCCTCTCAGTTATGGGTTAAATAGTAGCAAAAATATATATAAAAAAAGAATTAATACCTGTTGAACTTAGAAAAAAAACATGAAAAAGATTATTTAATAAGGCTGTCCTCAGCCTTTCAGGGCAGCATCTGTCTCACCTTGGAAGCAACTGAATGTCCTGATAAGATTGTTCTCTTTCATGTTGGCCTTTATATCTATGATGGTGGCTTTCCAACCAATGCACCCCCCCACATTACCAAAGACTCGTTAGTTCTTGGTAATGTGGAACCTTTGATTGGTCTCACTCTCAATAATATCATCTCAAGTAGATGTATCCACTAAAAATAAAGTTTAAAGTAATTCTCTGTCTGTCTGTCTGCCTCTCTCACTTCTCAGTCTCTTTGTTTCTCTCTCTCTCTCTCTCTCTCCCTCTCTCTTCATTTACATGCAAATAACCTTGGGAAAGGCATGAATCCACCTCTTCTCCCCCTCCCCACACAGCTATAGATTAATCAGGACTTGTATCAGTAAATCATTATCATCTCCAAAAGATTCTTATAATCTAAAAATATTTACTGGCTTTAAATAACCTGCAAAAGGTTAAGCCATAAAAATGATCAATCAATCAATCAATCTATTCAGAGTTTAAAATTTATGTAACTATATATGATTTCTTACAATTTTACTCTAAAATTCTTACATTTCAAAGAGAACAGTTTGTTCTCTGGGGTGCAACTAACATTTCGCAATGAAAAATACTCCTCAGTTAAACTAGAAATGCTAATTTAAAAAAGAAGACATTTTTCTCAGAGTCAGATTAAGTTATAATGAGTTTCAGAGTCAAATTTCTAGTTTGTTTACCACATGAAAATATGACTAATTCTTGTTTTAATAAGTCAGAATCTTTTCCAGGCAGTTGTCGTATGAGTTAAATATATGTCAGATAAGAGGAATGGGGTATTGTTTTAAGCCTGTTGTGTTTAAACTTGTTTAATTGTTGTTAATTTCTGCACATTTTTGTGACTAATCTTGTTCTTTTCAGCATAAATTTCTTCTTCTAATATCACCAAAGAAAATAATCTTAGATCAAAACATGATTTATGATACCATCTATAATTTTAGAAAATTTTAAGAATTATTTGAACAGGGACTCAAGACTAAATTTTTCACACTCTTCCAGAACCATCCAGAAAAACATTAAAAAAAAAATTTTAAACTGTCCTAAATTCAAATTTTTTTTTTTTTTAACTTTATAATTAATAATACTAAACAACATAATAAAAACACCATTGTTTAAGAAATAAAACCCTTCTCATTTGTAGAACTCTCTTCCAGCTTCTCGCATTCCAGTCAAAAGTGGTTTCCAAAATTTAAATATTAACCGTTATCTTGTGTTCTTAATTTCTGTTCTTTCTTCTTTATAACATTTTCATTTTTTAATATTCTTTTACACTCGGTAAATCTTTGTGGCTTTATTACTTTGCTTGATGTGAAATGATTAAAATAATTATAAAAATATAATAAATATATATAATACATATAAAATATTATATATTATTTAAAATTATGTATTATTTAAATTATATTATATAAAATATAATAAAAATTATGCCCTTCACATGCATTTTCTATATAAAGTATATTGTATATAAGTATATTAATGCATTCCAATTATTCACAATCAAAAAAAATTTTAAGTTTTTACCAGAAAAAAAGAATAATTTTCATTTATTTGTTTTCTCTTGTGACTAAATTTTCAATGTTTATTATTTAAAAAAGATTCTCCCTTGTATTTTTAATCTATTTTATGATGAGCAGAAAATGTAATATATACATGTTGTTTGTTAATAGTTCATTCAAGTCTTTTCATTCAAAGTTTTCTTGCTTTGTACATTAAAAGGAAATTAGTTCTTAATATAGATAATAATGTTTTTCCCATTTGTAGATATAAATAAAGCAAATGGCTAAATTTAAGTCTATGAATGTTCTTTTTTTTTTCATTCAACAGTTTAATCAGAAGCACTTAAGTTTTCTACTTGTTTTGTTTCTTTTTCTTTTGTTTTATTTTCATATATGTTTGTGTGTATTCCATTTATTAAAAGTACATATGGTGGAAGTTTTTTTTTATTTATTTAGAAATTAGTTGTTCAGAATATAATTTTAATTAAGTGTTGCATATTTCTGGCATCTCTTTAAAAAAAAAAAAAGTCAACCCAAACTGTTATTTTAGTACAACATAAACTTTGACCCCTGGTTTTGTTACCTTTGTCATTAACAGAATATTTTCACTAACTCCTTCTATAACCACCTTTTCATGTACAATCCATATAGATACGAGCTTTTATCATTTTGAAAAATCATCATTCCAAGAACCATTAATGTCATTCAGTGTCTTGGCCTATTTATTCTACAACCTTCTTCAAGTGTATAATTTTCCAGAAGAAGAGGCTTCTTTGTTTATAGATGGTACCCCCCCCCCCAAAAGAAGGCTACAGAATGAATAGATCAAAAGAAACGCGCCATAAAGAATATGTTCAATGATTCAAATATCTCTGGGAATTATGACTTAAGTGTAAAAATGAAATTTTATTAAAAATAATTACAGAACCAGATCAGTTTTTATTAGCTTTTAGCACTCTTTAGGTGATTATTTTCACCAAGCAAAATGTTAGTCCAGCTAATGCAAGTTGAATTTGAATTTTTTGGTTGTGTAGTCATATCCTTCTATGGCAACACCTAAAACAATCTTTACTGAAATTGAGAGCCAGGCTACTGCAATTTCAAATATATAGAACTAATATATAAAGCACTATATTTTGAGGGGATTCCATATACAGTAAAAGGGGGAAGTAATATTTATAAATTATGCAGTGTGTTAAATGTTCAGTAATCAGAAAATATTCATCAGTGACATTCTGTTTTTCTGTTTCCGTCTCTCTCTCTGCATGTCTCTCTCTCTCGCTCTCTCTCTCTCTCTCTCTCTCTCTTTCTCTCTCTATTCATTTACATTTTTTCTCTGGGGTGCAACTAACGTTTTCAATGTAAAATTCTCATCAGATAAACTAGAAATGCTGATTTAAAAAAATGGAGACATTTTTCTCAGAGTCAGATTAACTTATAATGAGTTTTAGAATCAAATTTCTGTCTCTCTCTCTGTCTGCCTGTCTAGATCTCTCAGTCTGTCTCTATCTTTCTCCCTCTCTCTCTCTCTGTTTCTTCCTCTCTCTCTTTCTCTGTCTGCCTGTCTAGGTCTCTCTATCTTTCTCCCTCTCTCTCTGTTTCTCTCCCTCTGTTTCTCTCTCTCTCTCAGTCTGTCTGTTTAGGTCTCTCTCTCTCTGTCTCTATCTTTCTCCCTCTCTTCTCCATCTCTCTCTCTCTGTTTCCATCTCTGTCTATTCATTTACATGCAAATACCCCTGGGAAAGGCAGGAATCCACCTCTTTTACAGCTATAGGTTAATCAGGACTTGTATCAGTAAATCATTATTATATACAAAAAATTCTTACAATCTAAAAATATTTACTGGCTTTAAATAACCTAAAAAACGTTGATAGGCAGTAAAAAATCAATCAATCAAATTCAGACTGCAATTTATCGCAGATTATTCTGCAATAAATAAATAAAGGTGCCAAATCAGACTGACAGTTTAATTAATTAGAATTAAATAAAGGGCAGTTGTCAATGTCTGAAGGTCATTGGGTCATGTTGACGTCGCTAATCCATAATATTTCGGAACGATTAATCAAGGTACCAGATTGAAAAGCAGGGGTGTATGGAGTGTTATTCACTTATAGGGATGTAGGTTAGGGTCTTACCCAGCTGATATGGAACGTTCTTGTAACTTTGCAGACATATTGTATTTTGGGATAGGGGATATGTGATGTTGTTACTATAACGTTACAATCAATCAGGTTCGGCACTACGGTCTCTGCCCACTCATGAAATTTTGATATGGGCCCCCTCTCTACGATATGTCGATTTCAAAGTTTCCCAACCTGGGGGCCACAAACCCTCAAAGGCAAATTGGGATGAGAGAGGGTGGGGGTTAGAGCAGCGCTTTTTTTTTAAATTACCAAAAATCAGGAAATTATTCAATTTAAATAAAAATTACAGTACATATTCATTAATTATTTACTTTTATAATGAATAGATTTCTTATTTTAAAAAATCTGAGAAAATGTTATTCTTTTTGTAATAACCACCAATATTTTCATGGATAAATTTTACTTGAAAATACTGTTTAATCGCTAATTTTTACATTTCCATGATTAATTGCTGATGCATCTCCGCTGAGAAAATTTTTTTTTATAAAGATTCCAACGCAACACAAACAGGATTGTCTTAAAAATGTGTTTAAAAAAAAAAAAAATTCCCCAAAACTGAAATAAGTTTTAAAATTATGTGTTGAAATCTTTAAACATTTTAATTTTTTAAGCGATCATTTTCTTGGTTTAAACTTTCTAGAAATGTAATAATTTAAACCAATTATTTTTTAAAAAGAATTCATTATTTATTTATTTTACAAAAAAAAAACTGTTTGGTTAACCAAATTAATCAAAATTTAACTGGAAAAAGGATTTTATACCAATTTAAAAAAATACAATTCACTAAAGCTTCATTTTTACAAAAACAAAATCGCCCATTAAGCAAAGTATACGCATTTTAAATTAAATTTCGCGAAAATTGCGCAGTAATCAAGACGAGCGAGAAGATTACAAAATCAGTAAAAAGGCTGTTAATTAAGTAACCTTCCGCACATTATTATTCGAAGCAAACGTATGTAAACAATGCCAGTAATGGCTGCCGGGTTGTAGACGCGACGCGAATAAGGCCGAACTAAGGTTGTCGATAACTCCTAAACGGTATTCACCCGCAAGCTTTTATTGGTATTTTCGAAATAATCAAGCAGTTTCACACCATAATGGAAAATTTTTATTACAATTGTTTTTTGATGATTATAATACAAATTAACCATATTTGCATTCTTTACTTTTTGGATCATTTGAACTTTAACGAATGATTTTTTTTTTTTCTTATTTTGTTTCCAGAATACGAGTGAAGAATGGAAAGTTATATTTTTCATTTCCGTGGCGATCTATTTATTTGGCTGTGTAATTTACCTTATTTTCGCTTCTGGTGATGTCCAACCGTGGGCCTATGGCTGCGTCAGGAGAAAAAGCAAAGCAAACTCGTTTGATTTCGACACGATCTCTTCTGGTAAATTATGATCAAAAACGAAGAAATTCAAATAATCATGATTCATGGCAGGAATTTAGTTTGCACAAAGTCGACCATAAGGTGACGCTTTTCTTGTTAATAAACTGGCCCTCCCTTTTTATACCATTGGTTTATTTTTAACGTTTATCTATTTTGTTACGGGCGTTAGTAACATCGGTGTTTGAGTTAAGAAATAATACATCTTTCCTGAAATGCCCACAATAAAAAAAATGGCGAACTCGGTATGTGAATAAATACAAAGAAACAAAAATAACCAATATTCAAACAAATAATAATGTATTAACAAGAAAGGTAAATAAGTGACAAAGTGTTGTGGAGTTATTTCGCAGTGGAGTTTTGTATTTGTACTAAATCGGTCCTAAAATAGTTCGACGTACAAAAAACGTTAGGAACTTGATATAATAGGTATTATGCAGAGTAATCTTATTGTGGTCGCTGACTACTTTTTATTCGATTAACTGTCGACTACTGTCGTCCGACATCGGCAGCTATTTAGTAACTGCCCCATTAGTCACATGTGGCACAAGGCCGAATTTAATGTGGGTTCCCGAGTCCGTAACAGGCTCGGCCTAAAAAATCCCGTAGACCCCGCATAAACGGGATCGGGTCTGTCTACCTCCCTGGACGAAACTCTGCCCTTCGGCATAGCCTCGTCCGGGTTCCCCTCTGTCCGAAGGCAAAGGGTTCGATGGCGTCCGACATCGACTGACCCTCGTTTCTCTTACTACTCCTACTTATATTAGGTGGGAGAGTCTATTAACTATAGAATAGGTGTGTTTCACCATAACACAAAGACAATGATGCATGTAACAAAAGAATGTGAAAACCTCTTTGGTTCAAAGTATGTGTAGTGAATGAATGTGCGTACGTACGTGTGTGTGTGGTTTGTTTATGCGTTTGCCAATGAGAAACGAGTTTTTCCGCGAGAGACTTACATGTTGACGTGTAAGCGGACAAGATACTAAGAGGTTACGAAAAATTATCGCAGAGTATTTATTGTCCGGAAAGCGTCCCCTAGTAGCGGTTTCAAAAATTAGTAGGAGTTAACCCGACAATACTCCCCTCCAGGTGGGTAGATTTTTTTTCTGCCCATATGTAAAGTTTGCTTAGGTTTGTTTCTGTCCTCGTGAACTGAAAAGGAAAGGTGTCGGAAGTGCGGTTGTGATGCGTGTTTAAACACGTCAACGAAAAATGTGCTTTTAATGTAGCATTTACTCGATTCCCCTCCCTCACGGAGTCGTGTTGTGACACAAGGTCGGTTTAATGTGGGGAGCCCGAGCGCGTACACCTGGGCTAGGAATAAAAATTCCCCGAGCCCCCGCAATCGTCGGTTAGGCTGGCCTCGGTATGAGCACTGATGCCTCTCTCTAGTGCAATGAGAGGGCGGGAACTCTGGCAGCTGTTCACCAGAGCTGAGCACATCTCAGTATAATTTTCCTCAGTTGGTTGTCACTCTGTCCTCCGAAGGATCCGCATTTGCCATCGGGGTGCTGTATTATTTTCTATAGCGGATCAGAGTCGTAGCAGGTCCTGGAAGATGCGTTGGTAGTGTAAATTATTCAGCGTTTGCTATTACAATTTGTCTTTTTCTAATGCTCCACGTTGAATCGGTTATGCCGTCTTGTCGTATTAGCTCCTGCTCGTTGGAAGGGTTTTGTTTGAGAAACGACTCTTTGCTATGCGTGGACAATGTTGGCGGACAAAATGTAGTAGAAGCAGCGTAGTGGCAAAGTTGTAGAATTTCGACCGAGTGTCGAATGCATATTTGAGAACTTTGCTATTATTGTCGATTTCTATATTGTACTTGCAAATTCTTAGTTTTTTTGAGTGACATCGTAGGAGAGAGAAAAAAAAAGGACAGTGAGTCGCCTTTTGAGATATGTCACACTTTACCTGATGAGCCCAGAAGAAACAGTGCTGATTAAAGTTCAATAGAGTTCCGTAGAAAGCAAATATAGCAGATTAGGAACTAAAAAATCTAGTAATGAACAAAGTTCAAAGTAGATTTGTCAGGAAGTTTATATAACGATGATATATTTATTGTATATAAGAATGCAATTATAGCACAAGGCCGAAAAAAAGGCAGGGGTTGAGGCTGGTCCACACTAACTATTTTATACCTAGCTTATCCGATTCACGACCCATTCACTCTTTACAATTTGCACATTCACCACAAAAACTCGTCCGTCGCCAACCAATCCTCCATACACCATAATATCAAATCTTCTCAAGGAGGACCTTGTTGTAGAGTAGTTTTCACAGTGGAGGCTTGTATTTCGCTAAGTCGGTCCTAAAAGGGTCCGACGTACAAAACGTTAGGAACTTGAAATAAGAGTTAATGATGCAGCAATCTAGTTGTGATGGTTGATACTTCAATGTCCGACATCGACTGACTCACTCAACTCCACTGAGCTCAACTGGCCACTGCTACTATTACTTATTATCTGTGGGAGAGTCTATTACAATAGAATAGGTAATGTTCTGGTATAACAGCCCTACAAAATGCGCCCCATGCCATAAAAATTGAATGATAATAAATTATATATAAAAATCTAAAGATGAAAATGATAGGGAAGGGAGATGAACCCAATAACAAACTAAACATGAACACAAAGTAAATTAAACATAACTGATGTTAACAGGGCCAGTCCAACCCTCAAAAAAGAGAGGCCGCTGTATTCTGCCTATTGGACAAAATCAAGAGGCTCTCTCGTTAAGGGAGTGGGAAAAGGAGAAAATATATACGGACATGGGAAAGAAAAAGCTGACCCAGTCGAAATAAAAACGGGCCAAAACAAACTGGGGCGGTTGAGAATCTCAACTTGGATGATAACCAAAGATGTAGCCGGGAACAGGCCAGGAACAACACTTACTCACATTAACTAGGTACACAAAAGTTTATATAAGGACGCTGACGAGAAGACCGTCGTATCGGTGTTTATATACAAAGTCGATAAAGTATACGCAGAAAAATGCTGATAGGACGATGTGTAGATTATTAACCGGAAGAGTTGATTCTCACAAAGTATAAACCGGAAATGCTGACAGGCAGCAGAAAATAAATAATTCTGAATCAGTCAAGAAT